GTACAGCAGGCACACGCTCGACTGTGGCCGCCTTCACACGGTCACTGTGACGTAGGCGCGGTACCCGAAGCTTGTTGTCTTGCAATACTTGCTCGACGTGCTGAAACTCGATAGATATTTTCTGTCACAGATCACTCGTGCTCTCTGAAACAAAGATTTTCCCACGGTAGCTAACTGTGATGGATGATGGTGCGATTCACCATTTAAATATCGGTTGGTATGGGTCTTTTTCCTATACACAGTGTGACCAATAGTGTTATCTGATTTCGGATGACTAAAACATCTAGGAAAGCTAAAGAATTGTTTGCCACTAACTCCATTCTCAATTGTAGTTTAGAGTTTATGGAATTATGGTGGTCTAAGAATGCAGTTACTTTGTCAGATGGTAAAATTGCGGTACGTAGACGATACTACCTACCGCTTGTAGAATCTTGGATTTACAGGAGCAGTAAGAAGGGCGTTCACCTCAAAGTCCTCCATGAATATGTCGGCAACTACGGGAGATACAGGTGAGCCCATCGCCACACCGTCCACTTGCTTGCAGAACTCTGCCTTCAACAATAGATAGCCAGATGTGAGGCGGTGTTTGAGTAGTACTACATATTCTGTAGGCGTGTTGTTATCTTCTATCTTCCTAGTTACAATTGAATTGCAGTCTTCAATAGGTAAGCAAGTGAATAGTGACTGAACATGAAAACTGACCATAGTTTCATTATCAGCGAGATGTAAGTTTTTTATCCCACTAACGAAATAGTATAAATTCTCTGTGTGTGCTCTGGTATGTCCTTTCAGTGGTGACATTATTTTTGCCAAGTTTTGAGCCAACTTATAAGTTGATGAATCGATATGGCTCACTATGGGACGTAGGGGAGCGTTTGGTTTGTGTATTTTCGGTAACCCATATAACCTCGGTAGTTTGGCACATGATAATATTGTCGAATTCACGTCGATATTTAATTTTTCGGAGTATTTCTTTGTTAAACCGGTAGTTGCTTTAAGTATAGAAAATAAAATTAAAATAGGCCCTACAACTATTAATTTACTTTTAAAAAAACACTTTTTAATGAAGAGTTAAAATTAGAAATTAAGCACCCCGTGTGTACGCGCGCCGTAAGCAGCCGCAAGCTGCAGACAAGCCATGCAAACAATATGTACGGGGAACGAACGGCAAGTTACATTGTTCCACGACTTATAAACCTACCCCCAGATTTCCGCGATAACTTAAATATAAAAAACATTAAAAAAAAACTTAAAATGTACTTTTTGGGTAATTTACAAAAAAAATTACTACTTAAAACAGCGTATATGCGTTTGCTCAGGTCCTAATTAGGCTGTAAGGTTTTCTTTTTACAAACTAAATTAATTATACTTAATGTAACGTCGACTCAGGTCGCGTCATCACAAACCTTAGTGGTTTTCTGTAGGCGCCTTTTTAGTATAGTTTTTTTTTTTTTGTAATGCTTTGTAATATGGTAAATAAATTTAAAAAAAAATATTAGTTGTCGGGTCTATTTTGACATTTTTGTATGTACTTAGGTTCGATAAAAGTTGTTGTATTTTGAAATTTTACTCTGACTTTCTTATCGTAGCATTTCCTTTATCCGCTCGGAGTATCGTGAGCTCTGGTCTGTTCCGTAAGTTGTACAACACTATAAACTCTAATATGGACGAAATGTCTTGACGTATGGCCTCTAAATCAACCTTACCGATATTATTCTTAAACAGACAGCCCTTAACACTACAGATTATTTCTTCGTACGGGATTCTTTGCGGTGTTAGTTCGTCGTGGTGTAGGTTCGTCCAGTGTTTGTTTTGACAGATTATAGTCCGTGCGTTGTTTATTGTTTGGGTCTATGGTCAAAGGTTGCGTTTCGTTCCTACGTTAAGATTGATGTTTGGCATTTGATTTGATTGTTAATTTTTAGTATTTTTCTATTTGTTAATTTTTGTATTCATTATATTTCGATGTTTCGCCTTTGTTTAAAGTTAAAGAATTCGTAAAAAATTGTTTCATTTAATGTGTAGTCTTCGCGTCAATATAAGAAATCATTATGCATAAGTATATATTCACGCGGAGAGCATTAAGCTTTGATTTTGTACGCGATCCGTTATCGAATTAGTAGTTTTGATCAAAGGTTTTTTATTAATTAAATTTTTATAATTTATTTATAAAAATCAATCGCTGTTCGTTAGTCTCGCTAAAACTCAAAAACGGCTTATCGACTTTGATGAAATTTTTGCGTGTTAGATTGAGTCCCTTGTCTAAATGACAAACAAGTAAATTGAATGAACTGTATTTAATAAATTTACACTTATTGCGCACTGTTTTAGCAGCAATAGCTACTGTTAGAAATACCTCCATTTAAGTAATACAAAAAAGGAAGCAAGTAGGTTACAGAAATAAAAATGTTGCTAGATAACATAAACATCAGTCCGTTTTATGTATGATAATCGCACATAACTGGGTAACGTAACAAAATGAATGATATACAAAACCCTACTTGACCGTAATCAGTCAGTTATTAGTTCAAAACTTATTAAATATTTATATTTCATTTAAGAAGTATTAATTTAAGCATCATATTTTGTATACACTAACTAGTACATAGTAATATTAAGTAAGTATTTTAAAAGTAATAACTGTATTGTAATAGCGCGTCGCGTCGCGTCTAAATAATATTTAATAAAGTCACTATTATGGAGTCCAAAGGATGTTAGGTACAAGAATAAGTAACTATTACACGACACTTGTTTGCGGATACGCAACCAATTAGAGATGGAAGATTAAGAAAAAAGTGGGATACACTGTTGGCTACGTACCGGAACCACAGAAGGAAAAGTAAAATTATCCTTGCAATCCACAGCTGGTGCTGAATCCGTTTATAACAACTGTTTATGACTTCATGGATACATTCTAAAATATGATCTACAAAAATGCTACGACGTAATAAACATGTATAAAAAAATAGCATGCACCGAAAGTAGACCCTCTTCTGTACGAAAATTGAAGACTAGAAATATATATATATATAATACAGATAACACTCCAAATAGTGGCCAACAACTGTCTTCGCCTATCACATCTTCTCCTGACAGCAAAAACTTGTTTACCCGTCAAGATCTAGAAAATAAAACAATAAATAGCGAAACGCCTTTACCACGTGACAGCGATAAATGTTTTGATCAAAATGGCAGTATAAACACAAGCCAAAATCAAAATACGGTAAACACATCTCCAGACATTAGTTCCAATCCGGACAAACAGAGAAAGATACGAAATGTTGTTATATTTGCTGATCAACAAGGACGGTATGTTTGTCAAATCTTGCAAAGACTTTTAGGTACTTCATTTAAAGTTATCTGTTATTTTAAGCCCGAAGCTAAAATAAACAACGTTCTTCAACTCAATACGTCTTTATCCGGCCTGACTATAAATGACATTGTTGTAATAATTGGTGGTATAAATGATACTGACCCATATCAGTTTGAAGTTGCTTTTGGGAACTGTTTACAAACTTTATCAAAACCAAATGTTATAGTGTTGGAAGTACCCTATAACAGGAATTTGAATGAAAATAAATTAAATTACTTAGTTAGATATATTTGGAAAAGACACAAGAATGTGTCATTTATTGATATGGGTTACAGTAGTTATTTACCCTATAAGAAACATTTTGCCTTAAATATTTGTAAAACATTGTTAAAAGAAGTATTACATTTAGATTATAAACTAAACTTTGAATTATGTAACAAAAATATTGCTCGCAAATCCTTATCAATTAATTCACGAAATAAACATACCCTAACTGATGTAATAAATTATAATAATGATTTTAAAAAAGACGTAATAAATAACTATACTCAGACTGACATGGTAATTAATGCAAATAAGTTAGGTAATGATGATAATATCTACATGGCTGTAAATGATAATTCAAACAATAACTCTAATTGTAACACCCAAAATAACTCTAATTTATTTCTCGTATAATTTTTTATTGATTTTGCACCAAAATATAAATAGTTTAATAAATAAATCGGACTTATTGGCCTACCACTTACATGAGCTATCACAAAATGGTAAAAATATAGATGTGATATGCATTACGGAGCATAACATGTAGGAAGGCGATAATAAACATTTGAACATTGCTAATTTTCAACCGGCTACATACGCTAACAGAAATAGTAGAAGAGGTCGTGTGTTTTAATAAGCAATAAATTAAAGTACAAAAAATTCGAATTACATCAATATTCCTGCCCTAACATTGCGGAGTGTTGTGGTGTGGAATTAATAGAACACGGCATAAAGAGTGATTTAGACGATACAATTTTCTTGTACATTCAAGTGCAATTATTGAATGCAATAAATTAAGTGCGTAAATTGCCCTTCAAGAATTGTACGCAACTGTGGATACAAGTAAAAAAATTGAACGCAATTATTGAATGCAAGTCTTGACAAAAAATAGTTGCAAATGTCTTCTGTTTAGACCAATACAATAATGTTTAGGAGATTATTGCTTTCAAGTTTTGACTTGTCTAAATAGAGAGTTGTATGTGCGTGTACCATTTATTGGCGGGTTGCATTGTCAAATTTTTCATTCAAGTGTTGGAAGGTTTTGTAAAGAGTCTGTTTATTAAAAAATATGAGTCAAAAAGTGTTAAAATTTGGTTCTGCTGACTTAATAAAGTTTATTGAGATTTATCGCAGTCATGAGTGTTTGTGGGACACTGAAAATGTGAATTACAAGAATCGTGATGCACGTAGTGCTGCACTTGTAGCATTTTCACAAGAATTTGGAGTTGATGGTTTGGGACCTAAGGAAATTACAAACAAAATAAAAAACTTAAGAACGCAGTATCATGCGGAAAGAAAAAAGATAAAAGATTCAATGAGCACTGATTCCGGTACTGCTGATATTTACAAGTCCAAACTCTCTTGGTATAATTTAATGGATTCTATTTTAAGGAAAACTTCTGAACACAGAGAAACAACATCAAATATGGTAAGTATGTATTTATGTAAATTTTCTAAAGTACAGTCAAGTGCATAATATTATAAATGTGAAACTTTTTTTTCATTAAAAAATGGCACTGTCTTGCCAAGGTACAGCACCATCATTGTTAAAGTAATGACAATAATTATCACGGATTCTTATAGCTTCCCTTGTACTATTCCTGTTGTTCTGTGATGTTATATTTTCAAAAGGTCCGCCTGAAGCATTTTGTCTCCAAGTACCAAGACGAAGACCACTTCTTTGACATTCTTCATCTATAAAACCTGGTGGGGTGTAAGACGCAGGTGAAGTTTTCCTAAGCCAGTTGTGTAAAGCACATGATGTTTTCACTATGACATCTACCTTGTCTATACTTGTAGTGATTGGCTTTTCGAAAATTCGAAATCGGGATGTTAAAACTCCGAAAGCATTTTCAACGATTCTCCTACATCTACACAATCTGTAGTTATAGATTTTTTGTTCTCTACTTAAATCGTTACGGCGAGGATATGGTTTCATCAAATAAGGTTTTAAAGGAAACGCTTCATCTCCGACAAGTACTGCATCACTTGGCAAATTTATGGTATTCTCTTCAATAGCCTTCTTTAAAGTACAATTATTAAATATTCCACCATCAGAGTTTCTACCTTTTGCTCCCACGTCAATGTATGTGAAACAATAGTCGTGATCAACACAAGCTAGTAACACAATACTAAATGTAATTTTATAATTAAAAAAGTCTGATTCTGTGCCAGGGGGACATTTTACGTTTATATATTATTTTCCCAACTGCTTTGGTGCCATTGATGGAAATCAATGGCACCAAAGCAGTTGGGAAAATTCCATCTTATAAAAAAGCCCCTTATTTGATTCCATTCCTCTTCAGATCTTGGCACCTGTAAAATAATGAAATAAATGTATGTTTTTAGAATTATACGTCCCTGGCATCACAAGAAATAGTTTTTGAATATTTTGAAAATGAAAATACGGAAAATATTGAAAATGTTATAAATTCAAATATACAAGTCGTCGATGATGTGCTTCCGTTTCCAATGCCTAAAAAAACAACTAAAAAAAGCAGGTTACATAGAATCGGCCTTAGATAAACTGGACAATATTGAAAAAAGAGCAAGACTTGAAAAAAAAGACGATGATTTGGACAATTTCGGAAAATATGTTGCGTCTTCATTGCGAATTTTGAATACCGAAAATAGCATACATGCTCAGGACGAAATACAAGCAATATTATCAAAATATAAACTGCAAGATCTTCGAGAAAAAGAACGACAAAACTCTACTCCAATGCCAGAATTCCCGTATTCGAAACAAGGCAGCGAAGACACATGGTTGAACATGTAATTTTTTTTCTATTTTAATTAAATATCTGATTCCGTAGTTTATATTTTGATAATAAATAAATATTGCTTATTTTTCGTTCTGAGCATAAATAGTAATTAACAATTTCTAATTACTTTGCTGAAAATATATGATTCTATTATAAAAACTGTTTTATTTCGAAATCACCTTTATAAAATCTTCTAATACAGAGTAAATAGCTTCAAGAACTTCGACCAAGAATGTACTTATAGTACACCTAGGTACTCTAAATAATTGTGACAGTGTACCAAACGAATCTCCAGTTGCCAAATATTTTAATGCTATTTCTAGTTTTGTTCGAGCAGGAATAGCATTACGCATTGTTGTATTTTGCCTTTGTATAGAAGAACCAATTTTATCTAATAAATAATTTTCGAACCAATTTCATCTAATAAATAAATTTCGTGTCAACAGAACCCAAACCCAGTTTGGGTTCTGTTGACACGAAACATGTTCTTAAAGTCATCTTCATTTTCTATTTGTAATTCTACACAAAGATTGTTAGACGCTCCTCTTCTTGCTATCCATTTTTTGATCCAACACCTCTTTTTACGACGATTTCTCAATATTTCTTGTCTCAGAAGAGCAGCAACGATTAACACACCTTCACTTACTGCACTCATGTTGGCAAATAAAGAGAAAACTAATTGAATGCAAGAATCGCCTAAGAAATTTTTGTATGTGCTGTTTACACCAAGAAAATTTTGGCAAGCAAAACTTGCGCAAAAGATCAAAATGTTACGTACTGTTTAGACCATGCAGGTAATTTATTGCTTCAATTTTATTGTATGCAACAGGCAAGAAACTTGCATCATGTAAATGAGCCTTAATTATTGTTTGTTTATATAGATCTCCGAAAGAAAGCATAGACGCCGTAACTACCTTTTTCTATAATTTTGAAGGTATGTTACAAAAAATTTGTAGTTCTAGTAAGAAAAAACTTCTAATATGTGGGGATTTTAACATAGATATTTTAAAAAGTACACGTCTTTCTAATGAATTCGAAAATAAATTGTTAAATTTTAACTTACGTCCGAGTATTCGCGAGCCTACTCGTTTACAGAGTGGCAAGTGTATTGATAATATAATTCATAATATAAGAGGCAGTAAAGGTGAAGTTATAGAGCTTGTGATATCAGATCATACCGCTCATGTCCTAAAATGCCCTGTTAACAAATCTTACACTATCTCTCATTGGTTTGTGTTAAAACGGGATTACAGCGTAGAAAACTTAAATAAATTTAAAAATGCTATTAAAAGACTCAGTTTTAATAATGTTTATGAATGCCTTGATCCTAATGAAGCGTTTAATGAATTCAATGAATTATTTAAGCAATTTTATAATCTTTGCTTTCCGACACTTTAATTTAACAAAATTAAAATTCCTATGAACAAAAAACTTACTTGGGCTACAAATAGTATTAAATTGTGCTGTAGACGAAAGCGAGAAATGCTATGGCATTCTAGACTACACCCTACTAAGGAAAATAAGAGAAACGTGTAAATTAACCCTTTAATTCGTAAAGTTGAGAATACTCAACATTCGAAATAAATAAATCCTGTATGAAAACTTGAACGCGTAGAAAAAATATTTTTACTTTGAAAAAAAGGTGAAACGAAACGCAACTCGTAAAAAGAAAGTTGTGTGTCACAAACGTCAGATTTTGACAGTGGCGGCAAAATGGCATCACGTTCATCTGCACCGTTTGGACCTAAGGTAAATAAAATTTATTATTAGCAATTTAAATCATATTGATACCTATTATTGCCTTGCATTTCAATTTTAAATTATTATTTTATGCACGTAATGAAAAAAAGCCTGAAAATATTGTGGTTTAGTATGTGTTTGATGGTTTTCAAGTTGAATGTTGAATATACTCAACAATGCGAATGTTACTATTATTCACCTGATTTTTTCTATGTTGAGTATTTTCAACATTGCGAAATGCTTTAGGTTTTGTCCTATAACTTAACATGATGAGTATATTCAACATTGCGCGTGTACTAACATTTATTCCCCTCTTATCTGAGACCCTATTATTGTTCATTTTTCGCTTTGGTTTTGGATGCCCTACGTTTTTTGTGTTATTTTGCTTCAGAAAATGCTTAAATGGCAACGCACGCAAAAAATTATGGCGCTTGTACCTCCCGCAAAAGCACCCTCCGATGACAGCAGCACATCTGAAGATGAAGTTATAATCAATAATTACACAAAACCGAAAAAACAACAATCATCTGACTCAGAACACAACTACGAATCATCTGAACCACGTTCTTATCCCTCTGAAATTGATGACTTAAGCTTAGATTCACATTCCGAAGATGAGATTCCTGCGACGCCATCACCTAGGCCACTACAGCTACAAAATGAAAGCAAGTCATACTTACCCAATTCCAAAGAAAATTCTCGTCCGACGACGCCTCCATCGCCAACTCCGCCTCAACAAAATGATTGCAACATACCTGAAGTACCATGTTCTGAAGTCCAAACTCCGATTTCGTCTGCGTCGATGCCACAAGATATAATGAATGATTCCATACTCCACATACCAACAATTCCCTTGTCTCCTTTAATTAACCAAATGTTTTCACCAGGCCCGTCAAATCAGCCGCTCCCATTCACACTGAATTCGGTCTCATCAGTATTATCACCTAACATGTCTCCAGCAGCACCTAATACACGTTCAAAGCGACGACAGAACACAAAACCTAAACACCCAGCGGCAAAAAAAGTAAAGAAGTTTGTAAGAAAACCTCTATCATTCAAATTCAGAGCAGGAAAACTACAGTACGCAGCTATATTTGAACCACCGAAACACGATTTCTCACCCGATCCACATCATTCAATCTTAGATTATTTCACTGACTTTTTTTCAAATGACATATTCGAATTAATAGTAGAACAGACAAACTTATATTCAGTTCAAACCGATTCGAGATCTATAAATATAACAAACGATGATGTGAAAGATTTCATAGCGATTACACTCATTATGGGGGTAGTGAAAATGCCCTCTTACAGAGATTATTGGAGTCGATTTTTGCGATATCCAGCTGTCGCTCATATCATGCCTTTAAAAAAGTATGAGAAAATAAGGAAATATTTACATTTCGCCGACAACAGCAACATTAACGACGACCGTTACTACAAAGTTCGACCAATTATTGAAAAAATTAGGCTTAATTGCTTAAAAATGAAGGAGGAACAACGCTACAGCGTCGACGAAATGATGGTCCCATACAAAGGGACAAGAGCGGGAAGTAGGCGCCAATATCTACCTAAAAAACCAAAAAAATGGGGGATGAAGTTATTCGTTCGAGCAGGCGTCTCTGGTTTAGTGTATGATTTCATTCCTTATGGTGGAGAAGACACGTTTAGAAATCATTCTTTTACTGAATACGAGGAGAGCCTCGGTCTTGGAGCAAAAGTTGTGCTAGCACTTTGCAAGACCATTGAGGATAAACCTGCAGTCGTATATTTTGACAATTTCTTTACGTCATTGGAGCTAATTCACCATTTGCGTCAAGAATACGGTATTTTTAGTCTTGGTACCATAAAAAGTAATCGTTTGAGAGGTTGTCAAAATAAACTACTAGCAGATAAAGTTCTCGCAAAAAAAGGACGGGGTGCAAGCTGGTCTGCAATGACACGAAACTTGCTGTTGTCAGATGGTATGACAATAAGCCGGTGACATTGGCTAGTTCATTCGTCGATTCCCATCCAATGGGAAAGATTCAAAGGTATTCCAAAGATACAGAATCTAGGGTGGAGGTCAATTGTCCTCAGATTGTGAAGCAATATAATGCCCATATGGGGGGCGTAGACTTGGCGGACATGCTTATCGCTCTATACCGTTCAAACTTTAAAACTAAGAGGTGGTACATGACCATGTTTTCACAATCTCTGGATATTTGCGTCAACAATGCTTGGTTATTACATAGGAGAGATCATGCTGATCCTAAAGACCGTTTACCTCTCAAAAAATTTCGGATACAGATAGTATCTGAGCTTTTACATAAAAACAGAACGAGGGTGACAGTGAGTCAGGAAAACGATCCTCCTAAAAAAATAATTACTCCAGCTGCTCCAAGACCGACTGATGCTGTACGATATGACAACAATGGACATTTACCCATGTTTGTGTCGTATGGACGGTGCAAATACTGTAAAAATGGGTACACAAATATTACTTGCTCAAAATGTATCCTCAGGCTGTGTCTAGTTAGTAAGAGAAACTGTTTTTATAATTACCATGTTAAGTAATAATATGTGAATTTGATTTTTTCTACTAAGGCTGTGTCTAGCCAACTTATTCTATGATTAATTAATAAGAAATAAAACTTTATTTGATTTTCTCTATAGTTTGTTCTTTTATTTTAATATATTAGTAAACTACCTTTACAAGGGCAATGTTGAAAATACTCAACGCTCAATTTATTAGGTAATGTTCCAATATGTCGCGCAATGTTGAGTATTTTTAACATACGATATTTGATAAAGTATACAATAATAATAATAATTTCTATTTTTTTTGGCTATAATTAGTCAACATTAATGCAATTAAACAGAAAAAAACATGTTTATATAACTTTTATTTTTCTGCGCATTAAAGGGTTAAAAAGAATAATTAATTTAACGCAAAAATCGCGAAATAGTTATTATATCAACAATGCGAAGAATAAAACAAAAGCCACATAGAAAATGATAAATAAGAATCAATACAATTTCCCTAGAGATAATATTACAAAACTTAATTTTAATAATAAATATATATATGATCCGGCAAAATTGCTGAAGAATTTAATAATTATTTTATCAACGAAGTCAAGCCTATAAACCAGTTTAGTAAAGACCACTATAATTATTCATCCATAAATAGTAGAATGAACTCAATGTTTATGCCTACATCTATTCCTCACGATATACATATATAAAATAATTAATAAGTTAAAAAATACTAACAGTGCCGGTAATGATGATTGTTCGCGCCAAACGCTGTTGTCGGAATCGACGTCTAGGGGGCGCGCGGCCCTAATTCCGTCATCCTTGATTGGGGCATCTAGGGGCGTGTACAATGATAAAATCACAAAAGTAGTTAAGTATGTGGCCGTTGGAATTTTCCCAGTTCTAAGTTACGTGGTTAATTTATGTATATAAAATGGTACTTTCCCTAGTTGTTTAAAAATATCCGTTATAAGTCCTTCGTATAAAAAGGAGGACAGACATAACCCTAAAACTACAGGCCTGTCGCTTTACTTCCAATATTCTCCAAAATAATAGAAAAAGTAATATATAACAACTTATATTCTTACTTAGAAAGTAATAACATCTTAGCAAAGGAACAATATGGTTTTAGGAAATGTAAAAACATAAATATGGCCATGTATGATTTTATGGATAAAGTGATCACTGGTATAGATAATCATACACCGACAACCACTTTATTTATGGATATGACTAAGGTGTTTGATTACGTTGATTTAAATATTCTAGCGCTTAAAGTGGAAACATATGGAGTGCGAGGTAATGTGTTAAAACTTATTACGTCATACCTGAACGATAGAAAACAAATTACTAAAATATAAAAATTACTGTCGGCGTTCTAATATTGAACTAACATACCTTTCGCAACAAAAGCAAACATCCTACGGTGGGCCGCAAGGAAGCGTACTCGGTCCTTTACTATTCCTAGTCTATATAAATGATTTACCGGAAGTGACTCAGTACCCTATGACCTTATTTGCTGATGACAGCACAGTCTTATTCACTGGACAAAACAAAGTCTCATTTGAAACGGACATAAATCAAAATTTATGCAGGATAATAAGCTGGCTAAATGACATAAATCTTAAAATTAATCTAGATAAAACTCATATTATAACATTCAAACAGAGGTCGCAACAACAAAAACATAATATTCAATATATAACTAAAATTATAAATGAAAAAGAACATACGAAATTTCTGGGACTTTGGCTAGACGAAAACATGACATGGAGAAAACATATTGAACACATGATAAAAAAGATAAATCAATACCACTATGCACTACATAACCTTTTAAAAATAACAAATCGTGAAACAGTCATAACCGCCTACCATGTATACGTCTCTTCAACATTGAGATATGGTATAATATTTTGGGGAAACTCCACAGGACGCGAATTAGTTTTTAAAGCGCAAAAGAAATGCTTACGAGCAGTATGCCGGTTGCAGGCTACCGATAGTTGCAAATCGCATTTCATTGACCTTAACATACTAACCCTGCCATCTTTATATATATTCGAAGTAGCAATGTTTGTTAGGAAACATTTTAGCATATTTGAAACCACTAATAGTAAACGTCACACAAACACATTGCGTATTAAATCTCACAAAACAGCGCTATATTCAAAAAGTTTCCTGGGTATGGCTCCTAAAATTTTTAATAAACTCCCAAAAAACATCAAAGAGACAGAAAACATAGACGAATTTAAGAAATTGCTTTCGGGTTTTTTAATAGAAAAAGCATACTACTCTATTAACGAATATTTTGATGACAAAATGAATAGTTTTTAGCACCTACAATTAATGTCCGATTTATTTATTATATTTTTATCATTATGTTATTAGGTTATAGCTAATAAAAACAATAATTTATGCAATTTTTCTTAAACATACTAATTATTATTGAAATTGTAATGTTAATCAATATTTATATTAGTAATGCATGATCATGTTAACCAAATATTTGTATGCCTTCTAAGGCGAAACATAGTGATACTTACCATACATTTTCCACCAAGCTTGTAACTTTTTACCTATGTTTTACAAATAAATTATTTTGAATTTGAATTTGAAGTCTTGCATGACGCAGTTACTTGCAGAAAAACATTAAACAGAGATACACAGGTAACCAAATATCTATTTTCATACATCAAACCATTCATGTAATTAATACTGCGGAAGTCACTCCAGATTTTGAAAATTAAAACATTGATGACAAAAATTTGTTTGGCAATTTTTATTCCTTATTTTGTTATATAAAATTTGATTGCCATGGAAGGCTAACCTCATCACTTATAAAGTAATCCCCAAATTTTTCTCTTATATTTCTGGCAGCCATTTCCTCATAATCTACCCATTGCACATGTGTCTACCAAACCAATTATTTCCAAAGTATCTACGAATTTATATCCATCCCTTTCTCTAATAAAATTATGTAATACACAGCATGCTTTTACTACGTCCTTCGAGAAAGCCAATGATAAATATAATGGGGTAGGAAATATTCGCCATTTATTTGTTAATATCTCCAATAAGCACTCTACAAATCTTTGTGCACGTGTTAAACGATAATTAAATACTCTATTCTTCGGGAGAAGATTTTTGCCTGGACGTAGCAAATTTGGTGTCACCCTAAACGCTTCATCTCCCACAAAAACGTAGGGTAGTGCACAGCTATCATTTTCAATCGATTTGGGTTCTGGAACGTTCAAAGTTCCATTTAGTAGTTTCCGACACCGGAGACCATTCAACGCGTCCATGATTCGATTAGAGAAAATCCTCGACAATCAAATCGCAAAAGAAGCCATATCTTTAACATCAAAAGGACCACTTTGCGCAGGATTTTGCACCGTGATTTGCATTCAACATCGTATAAAATTCAGTTCCCCAAGAGTCGAAGCCTAATAATGCCAATCTTCGATTTAATTTTGCTAATGTTATGCTGGAACGTTTTAACAATTTTTCCAACATAATCTGTCAGTGATGAGGTAAACTTTTAGGTTAATAAACAAAATTGCCGGTTTTGGTCCGAATCTAATCCCCGCGAGATGTATCAAAGACATCTTCATAACCCTAAGGTCATTGTGTGGGCCGGAATATCGTCTAGTGGAATAATTAGGTCATACTTCTTTGAAAACCAAAGAGGAGTTACTGTGACAGTGAGACCTGAGAATTAATGTCAGATGTTGCAAGTTTCTGGTTCCAGCTCCTCAAGTATTTCAAGGTTACAATTCTAGGATGGTATCAACAGGGTGGAGCCACATGCAACACTTCTACAGTCTCAATAGACGTGCCGATAAAAATGTTTCCAGGAAAACTCACATCGCGAAGAGGAGACATTGAGTGGCCTCCAAGGAGTCCAGATCTTTCTCCTGATGATTATTTTTTGTGGGGATTCCTAAAAGTCTACGAAAATAATCCAACAACAGTTGAAGAGTTAAAGCAAATCAATGAACAAGAAATTAACGCTATTCTACGAGCAATTTGTCAACGTGTTTTTCAAAATGTGCGAGTCTACAAGAATGTCATACAGATGGTGGCGGTCACTTAAATAACATTATCTTTAAAAATTAGATGTCACTTAAAGGAGACTGATACGCTTTCATACATTCTTGGGCCCAGATTGTAAATAGATGAAAGTGGTATCAATTAATAGGTTATATATTATCAAAACATCACTGAAAATTCGGCGGACTTTGGCAATCTGAGAGCAAAGTTATAAGAGATTTAGTAAAACACAGAAACACTCAAAACGCACACGTACCACATGAGTACAGAAACCGACCAGAGGGGAAGCTACATACAAACGGCTCGCTGCGGATACACCCATACATAGCACAGCGATGTGTGCGTGAGCTCTCACCGACAGGTTCACCGACGCTCCGTCGGGGTACAAACCGGTTTGCGCCGGCTCAGTCGGAGTGTGAATGAAAGGGCTGTTGGTCACGCGCATTCAAATAAATAGACGAATAATATTGCGTGATTTTATAGATCAATAAATTTACATTTTTTTTTAACCATTAGAGTTAAGTTTAGAGATTTTTTACTATAAAATAAGACATTATAGATTTATATATATATATATATATATATTTATATTAGATAATTAGTATTCGTATAAGCTAAATGCCTAAGTTGTACAGTATGTATGAAAATTCGAGGAAAATAATACAATAGCCAGACAGTGGTGCAGTTAGTGTTAGTGGTAGTAGTGCTGGTGATGGTGATGGTGGACGGTGGTGCTGATCGTGCGGTGTTGGTGGCGGCGGATGGTGCTGGTAATGGTGTTAGTGATTGTGGTGGAGCTGGTGTATCATTGATGGTGGTGGTGAACAGTGGACCACCACTGGCACCACCATCACAACCAGCATCACCACTACAGCCCTTACTCCCGCCACCATCATCCTGGTAGTGACATTGGTGGTGGTGGTGTATCAACACCACAACCACCGCCACTGCCCACTACCATCATCACAGTCATTACTACTACCACCTGA